ATCCACCCTATATGCTATCTTTTCATTCACAGTACTTTACCCATCCCTGGTTTCAGACCGACTCTGCGAGGGTGTTCACCCCTGGTATAGGAAAGTCTGAGTTCATTTTCTTTTGGGTTTTCTCCAGTCCGGGGAGAGTCGTGGCGTGCCCGTCTCTGTGGTCGTCGTAGCTGGTATTGCGATGTCCCAGGCCTGCAAAATTTTTCGTCCGTCTTCTGGCGTCTGGATGGCCGTGATTTTCCCCTTTCTGTTGACCAATACTTTAGTTGGGTATCCCCAGCGGTACGGAAGGTGATGTTCTCGTAGGGTCCGGGTGATGTCCCTGAAGTCTCTGCGGCGTTTCAAGGTAAAGGCCGAGATGTCAGCGTATAGTGCGACATGCTTGTATGCGTCTGGTAGGCCTTTGTGCGTTCTGTTGGCGTTCAGGACTGCTTCTTTGGCGTGGAAGTAGTGCATGCGAAGCAGAACATCACGAGGCGTCTCTGGGGGCAAGAAACTTGGTTTTGCCGTACGGTGGATTCTATCAATCAGCAGCATCTCTTGAGGCCAATCTGGCAGTAGGTGTCTCAGGAGGCCTGTCACATGGGCCATGAGGTCAGGAACACTCACTGTTTCTGGTATGCCTCGTATGCGGAGGTTATTTCTCCTTGCGCGGTCTTCCATGTCAGCAATTTTCATGTCTTGCGCTTCTATTTTGGCTAATATGGAGTCTACTGTACCCGCTAGGTTATTGTGAGCGGTGTCATAATCCGCCATTTTGTCCTCTACTCTTGAGGTTCTTGTCCCCAGCTCCTGCACATCTTTTCTGATGTCCTTAATTGTGGACTCTAGCTGTAGCAGTAGTTTTGCTGCCATTTCATCCAGCAGTGCTTTAATGGTGCTGTGTGTTAGTGCAGGTTCAGTCTCCTCCTGGTGCTCCCTGCTGTCTGTCAAATCCTCGGCGCCATCTTGGGACAGCTCGTGTGGCGGCTGATTTTTAGTTTGCCCAGCTCTGGATACAAAGAAGTTGGCCTTCTCGGTTCTCTCCGTGTTCCTCTTCCCCTTAGGTTGCGACATGTCTGTCTGTGTGGTCGTTTGCGGGCTTAATTGCTCCTTTGAAGCCGGTCACGGAGCGGAGCCTCTAGTGCATGCGGCCGCTCCGGTTCACCTCCAGGCCACGCCCCCCTATGAATTTCTTTTTTTAATATCCTATCATGTACTTTTATTGGGTCCATATGTAAGTAATACAAACAGGAAGGAAACCCCATAAAATGCCAGTTAAAGCATTTAACATATAGATGTATTTTGTCTTTGAGTACTTTACTGTGATTGTCTGTTATAATGGATCTGAAGAACACTGGATTAAATTATCCCAAAGTAGACAAGTCATACTTAAACCAGTGTAATTCTGTATAAAACCTGATCATATCAGAATGTAGACACGCCCCTGCTTAGAATATTAATGGTTTAAATTATATATTTTGAAATTACTGGAGAAAAAAAATTTACTGAACATTTCTCTGTGTTGTGTATGGTAAAGAGCGTTGACCCTTTCCTACCCGCAGTAATCTTAATGAATTAGTGGTAGCCTTCCTTTCAACACATTCACAAGTAGAAACTAATACTACAGTTATCCTCTATGCAAGTTTATCCGATATACCAACATGACACGATGCATGGACATTTTAGTTGTGGCAATTTCTCTTCTTTGTGTGGCCGAAACTGGATGAGCCGCCATATTGGGGGAGGCGGACTACATCTGGTCCGGACCATATAAGGAAGTTCTATCACATGTGTTTTAATTACTACATCTGTTTTACGTTATGGTTAAGTAATTTTAGGGTATATATTAAAGCCTGCTATGTCAGTTGTTGGGTAGATTGCACCTGAGGAAGACCTCTTTTAAGGTTGAAACGCGTTGTGCTTATTTTTTGTTATGTTTTAATCACTATTTGCAATAAACTACTTTTATATTGTTGAATTGGTTCCTGGTTCTGTAAAGTCTGAGTGTTCCATTTTTATTGTATCACTGTTATATTTATGTATACAGGTTATACTATGGTTCCTCTGTTCTGTTTTCATATGATTTAGGGTTCTAGCAAGAAAAAGACCCATCGCATTGTATTGTATTTTAAAGGTAAATCATTTTTACAGTGTGCGCTTTGGCACTTTATTCATTGGTGTTTCTGTTTTATATAAGTGTACTTGGTGACAATACACTTGGAGTGTTTTTAGGCAGTACTTGTATTATTCATTTTGAGTGCCCGATATCCCTTATTTTTTTCACAAATTTATCCGATAGGCATACTGAGCTTTTGCTTATAATGCCAGCAATGCAGGAGCACTAAACATGAGAACAGTTATTTCAAATAATGTTATATCTAATATTTAATTTTAAAAAATGCTACAGTAGTAATTGTAGAAATGAAAACATTGTTTCTATTATTCATCCTTACATTTATTTTTATTATATATTCTTTTACTTGCATGTGACTGCATATCTTTGGACCTTGCCTTTATCATATTTGGAGTACATGTCCACATTTAATACCTTATTATTTAATACCTTATTAGTTGCAAACAATTTGTGGGGACTTATTAAATAAAAAACAAAAAGGAAATACATTTACCAGGCACCGGAAGTAACTAGTACAGCAGTTAAAAAACATTGGGGAGGGAGCCTGGAGCGCTTACAGCCCAGTTGCCTAGGCTTGACTGGTGTCTTTTTGGTGCTTTTCCACCCAACGAGGCTGCAGCTCTCCTCCCAGGCACATATTGTCCCCTCTGTCTATTCCGCTGCAAACCTTCTTCCAGGCAGATATCATCCCATTTGCCTATTTAGCTGCAACCCCTTCTTCCGGACAGGTATCAACCCCTCTGCCTATTCTGCTGCAGCCCTTCTTCCACGCAGGTATCATCCCCTCTGCTTATTTTGCTGCCACTCCTCTTCCAGTAAGGTATTGTCCCCTCTGCCTATTCTGCTGCAGCCTTTCTTCCAGGCAGGTATCCACCTCTGCCTGCAAAATTATTTATATTGCCTTTACAAAGGCACTTGCGTCTCTCAGGTCTAGCTCTCTTGATTTGTCCCAGGGCTAGAAGGATCGTGAAGCCAGCCAACAGGTTAGAATACTCTGTTACCGGGATCCCTAAAAATCCACACAGGACACAAGTTCCAAAAGGAACGAACAGACAAAGCTTTATTTTATTTATTTATTTATTTATTTTATTTTATTAATTAATTTAATCTAAAACTAGCCTTTGGGGACTAGTCCTTAAATATGTGGTGAGAACCATAAAAATATAATATAAACAACATGCATAAGGTAGGGAACAAGCAACATAAAACTATCCCAAATATATAACATCATTACAACTTTCCAAACCATTAGAATACAAAGATGTATCAATGCAACATGTCAGTTTTTATAACATTTTAATTTGCATATTTCTATTATGCCAACACTGCATTTTTTTATTTAGCCAACAGAGGGCAATGGAGAGTCATAACAAGCCTAAAATAATTCCCGTTTAAATCAAATATATCCCAACCTTGCAAACCCAAACCAGGGGGAAAGCAGTCCAAATGTATACTAGGCATAACTGAGGAGGTATCCTGTTAGTCACCCTCCATAATTCTACCATGTAAGCAAGTCTAGGCAATATCACTGGATGGTTACTTCAGAGTTGTGAAATCAGTAACAGCCCCACCATGCTATGATCAGGTTCCAGAGACAAACATATAACACAGATGTGCTTCAAGCATTACAAGACCTTTCCACTCTCTTCTTTGAATGGTTTCAAATAAATGTGTACTGAGGCACATCATGGTGCATGGTGCCATCGCACCGATTTGTTACAGTGGCTTATGTTTACCTACAAATCAAGATAACTGCTCCAATGATGATAACTTTGCAATACACTGCCTATAAAGGCCTAAGAATAAATATAGATATATTTATTGCTTACTCCTCACAAAACAAACAAACAAAACACTAAGTGGATAAATCAGGCCATCAAATTGACTAAGCTATGTTTGAACCTTGGAAAACAGTGCCTTAAATGTAGGTCCAGAAATTCTGCAAGCATTAGGGACCAAGCTAGAGATGTCATTGATGCTCAAAGTAGAGAATTCAAATCCAAGAATTGATGACTTGCTTCGAGTTTGTTTTATTTTAACATCTGCTACTTTCCCACTATGTCTATTTGTTGTCTCCCTCAATACCCTGCCTATTGTGTTTTTATACCCCACCTCCTCTAGACTGTAAGCTAATTTGAGCAGGGTCCTCAACTACCTATTGTTCCTGTTACATTTTGGTCTTTTTTGGTAAATTCCCCTCTTATTGTATAGCGCTGTGGAATAAACTGGCGCTATATAAATACCAATAAAAATAATAATAATAATAACACAGACACTATTCTTAAAGGACCACTATAGGCACCCAGACCACTTCAGCTCAATGAAGTGGTCTGGGTGCCAGGTCCTTCTAGGATTAACCCTTTCTGCTCTAAACATAGCAGAGAAACTGCTATGTTTACCTATGGGTTAATCCAGCCTCTAGTGGCTGTCTCATTGACACCCGCTAGAGGTGCTTCCGCGCTTCTCACTGTGATTTTCACAGTGAGAAGATGCCAGCGTCCATAGGAAAGCATTGAGAATGCTTTCCTATGGACTGGCTGAATGCGCGCGCGGCTCATGACGCGCATGCGCATTCAGTCGATTACGGGAAAGGAGGTGGAGAGTCCCCACCGCCGGGCTCCCTCGAAAAGGTATGTGTTTAACCCCTTCCTCACCCTAGAGCCCGGTGGGAGGGGGACCCTAAGGGTGGGGGGACCAAGAGACGCTATAGTGCCAGGAAAACGAGTATGTTTTCCTGGCACTATAGTGGTCCTTTAATGGTAGAACTCCCATTAACTCACTTG